CACCCAAATATGATTTCGGCCGCGGTCGAAAGCCATGAGATATTACTACTACGCAATCAAAATGAAGCCATCTCTATATATAAAAGAATCAAATTATCTACTACGGCAGCTAGTTCTAATATGCCCAATTTGATGGCAGTTACTGCATTGTGGTGGTGCACGCTTTTTCTTAGGGATAGGCTCCATCATCTGTATAGCTTCTTGAGCAAGTTGCTGGCCTTCAGCCCCTGTCAGGACCCCTCCAGTAGTAATAAAAGATCTAGGGGCTGCGCGCTTTCGCTTTTGCTTTTCATTTACTGCGCGAAGCTCTGCCATCTGGTGTCGTAATAGAATGACTTCATGCATGGTAGATTCAGCCGCTTTTGCTAGCTGACGAAGTGCTTCATTTGGAGGGCTTTCAGAGTTGCGTTGGATAAGTTGCTTTATATGCTGCATCTGCTTTTGCACCTCAGCAGCAGTATAAGGGGTCTTTGTAATCCATTCCCCCTCCGTAGGTCCAGGTCCATGCGCAGTAGTTGGAGGGGTGATATTCTTAATGGTAAGCTTATCTAGCACCCTTTGTGGATTTAAAGGCACTAAACCAGAAGCTTCAAACCCACTGCGGATATTCTTAGATGATAAGGCCTTTCGTGACTCTTTGTAAAGATCAAGAAAGTTTTCCTTATCAATATGATGAATACCATGTTGGATGCTTCTCATCACCTCTGCACCATATGCTTCCTTTAGGGGTGCAAAGCAGCCAACATCAAGAGGTTGCAGTTTACCAGATGAATGAGAAGGCATATAAAGAGGGATGATTTGATGGTCCTTGCAGAAAAGATCAAACTCTGCAGATTCATGGCTAGCATGGCCATCAAGAATCAAAAGCCGATATCTCCCTTGTGTACGCGCTGCAGTATGCTTTTGAAAGACCTTTTCTAACCAGAATACTCCAAGCTCATTATTGGTCCATCCATTATTGCTTAGACCAATCAGCCAATCAGGGTCGATATCTTGATACCATTGAGATTGATGGACCTTGCCGGAGAAGATGATCATAGGGGGGAGGGGCCATCCAGAGGCGTTGATGCATTCAATAACAGTGACCCATTCGCGATTCCCTGGTTGTATAGCTCGTACGCGGCTTGTTCGATGACAGGATGCAGTAATAACCTTTGCTGTATGGGCCACACCCATCTGGAAGCCAGTTTCATCAAAATTATAGATATCCTGCTCAGTTATACCATATTTTACTATGGTATTCTGAACCAGACTGAACCACTGACTCATAACCTCTGGATCCTCACATTTGGCGCGCTGGTAGTCATATTTGCGAGTATATTTTGATATAATATCATCATGCCATTTAATGAATCTAGTAATCCATCTCTCACTGACTGCTTCCCCCTCTCGCTCATGCAGTAGCAGATTTGCCATTTTGCGTACTATAGCATGTGTTAGTGGTAGGCCACGCTCATCCATATCTAGAATCCACTTCTTTAGTGAAGTTTCTTCTAGCCTGCTAAGCTTCAGGCAGTTTGCTAGTATATCAGCCCATGCTTTGCGACCACTAATTCAATGGGTAAGGGTAGAGCATAGAACATCATATGCAGCAGCTGCAGCTCATATGCTCTTAAACTGGCCATTTTTGAATGCTTTAACTGCAAGGGATATGCAATCTTCTAATTTAATAGTTGAATCTGCTTGTTTTGAGGCCATATTTGATGAAGAACTGAACTTAATGATGATTTGGTGTGTTGTAAGAACAGTAAGATTCAGGGGTTGAGGTGGTAGCTCACTTGGTGTCCGATTACGTAACATTTTTTGGAGCCGAAAGTTGGAGTCTACAAGGTATCAACAGACTGGCCATCTTTCATTCGATCTGGTCTTTATCTGGTGATCTTCCCGCTGTAGACGCCCTCAATTCCGATGTGATCCACACATGTTTCAATCGCAGATTATCACCAGTGATGGTGTCCACATTTGAACGGATACCCCAGTCGCTATTGTCAGCGGGGCAACAGATGATCTGTCCCATCTCCTAATCTCTCATCCCCGCAGCGATCCTTACACAACGTTACTCAGGACTGCTTGCATCGACGCATCTCTCCGTCCGAGATCTAAATCAATATAAATCATGCCTCCAGTGCCCGGACGACCCGAGCACCATCGCGTCATTTGTTACCATCAGACCCTGTGTCCGAACCAAGGCGACTATGTCTCCGTGCTGCCTTTAGTGACGAACAACACCGGCATTACCCACGTCATCATCGCAGCTTTTCATCTGAACGAGGACCCGGGCCATATCACCCTCAACGATGATCCGCCTGACCATGAGATGTATAACCCACTGTGGGCGGAGGTGCCTGTGCTGAAACGGAGCGGTGTCAAGGTGATGGGAATGCTCGGCGGGGCAGCGCAGGGGTCCTATAGGTGTCTGGATGGCGACCAGGAGAAGTTCGAGCGGTACTACCAACCTCTTCTGGCGATGGTTCGGCGGCATCAGCTGGACGGGCTGGATCTGGATGTAGAAGAGGAAATGTCTCTGTCCGGCATCATTCGGTTAATCGACCGATTGAAGCTGGACTTGGGCGATGACTTTATCATCACCCTGGCGCCTGTCGCGGCGGCCCTCCTGGGAATTGGTAACCTTTCTGGGTTCGATTATCGGCAGCTCGAGCAGCAACGAGGATCCAAGATCAGCTGGTACAATGCGCAGTTCTACAACGGCTGGGGTCTGGCCGAGGACCCTCGGATGTATGCGGCCATTGTGGCGCAAGGATGGTCACCACAACGCGTTGTCTACGGGCTGCTGACGAACCCAGGAAACGGGTCGCAAGGCTACGTCCCGCGAGAAAAGATCGGGCCCGTTCTCGCAGTGTTGGTCGAACAATTTCCGAACTTTGGAGGTGTCATGGGCTGGGAATACTTCAATTCCATGCCTGGTGAGCAACAGAGCCCATGGCAA